AGTTTCTACTAACTTTATACTGTCATTATATTCTCTTATTTCCCTCACCTTTTTTAAATTAGTTTTTCCCTTTTTTTCTTTTTCAATCTATTTGTAATATTATTTTTAGCTTCCCATAGTGCTACTTTTTCACATCATTCCTTCCAGTAGTCTTTTAAGTACTCTTTGAAGTTAACCATTCCTTCAATAATTGCTTCCCTGTCTCTTTCTCTAGATTTCAACTAAAATTATAATTAATTAAAATAAGAAAAAGGATAAAAATAGTGAAAATAAAAATATGTACAAGAAATTTATTTTTCCTTTTTTTCCCTGCAGTTTTTGATTATATTAGATTTTTAAATAAGAAAAAGAAAATGGCAGTGACAAAAAAAAAATTTCTTTTCTTTCCAGCATGTTTTCAATTGAAGAAGTATCATCTATTAATGTTTTGTAGCCTTGATTAAGTATAAGTTCCTTAAAATATCTTCAAATGAGAAGTCTATTTCTTTATATTTTTCATTTCAACCTCAATTCACCAGTAAATTATAAGAATGCAAAGATTCTGGGTACGTCTAATTATTATTATTTTGATAACCATTTCAAATTGTTAAATAAAGAAAATAAATTTCAACAATTATAACAACCATAATAATGAATAATATATTTTCAAATTTTTTTGTAACTATAGAATAATGTCAAAAATTGCTTTAGTTATCCTTTTTTAAAAATGGAAATGTAATACTTCAAATATATATATTTTACTAATTTTATTAAAGAATTATAAAATAGATAAAATAAGTGTACCAGTTATTATGTCCTACTGTGCTAAAAACTTTATGCCATTTCACAGGAGGCATCAAATTCTGTTACAAATGTGTAGAGTATTTCAAATACTTTCATCTATCAGTTTCAAAGTTCATCTTTCACAAATTACTTTTTTAAATACACTCTATCTACCAGTAGGTCAAGCAATCAGTCGATCTAAACTTTTCTATCTTGAAACAGATAATAAATATAATATAATTCTCTTTAATTCTTTATTTTTAATCTGAAGGCTTAATGAATAAGGTGGAGCAAAAGTGTTAACACAGTATCAGATAATATTTAACAATGTTTTACAATATCATAATACAAAAGATAAGTTTATTAAAATATAAAAGGTACAAATTTAAAAGCAAAATATTATTTAATGACAGAAATATTATGATGGTTGGTGTGTTTATTTTATTATTCCTAAAGGAAGTTTACTTTTCTATCTAATAATATTAATGTTTGAAACTATTTGTAATTATTAATTAACTGAAGTCAAAGTTACTACTGTAACTACTAAGACTCTGAAAGATTGCTACTTCTTTTATACCTTTTCACCTTCATTCAATTTTTACCTGTCATCCTTTACACTTCATCTTTCATCTTTTGTATGTTATTCTTTATCCTTTGTGCATCATCCTTCATCCTTATATGATGTCTTTTGGATGATAACTCCAGTTATTATTCCAGGTGATCATACAATCATCTCTGTATCACTATTTATCATCTCCTGTAATAATCAGTATGGTTACCAATTTGCTTTACCATAATACTATTACAAGTAAAGTTTAATTTTTAACTTTTAAAGTATATTAATTAAGCGAAACAATATATTTTTAACTTTTTAAAATGTATTAATTGAGAAGTTATACATTTTTTTAAAGTTAACAAATTATTATTATTATTATAACAAATTTACTCTTGTAATCCTACTAAAATGAAACTAAGGTACATATTACCATGTATTGACATAGTTATGTGCTGTTAAAAATTTTTCACATACTTTTTGACTTTCATTTTTTATATCTTCCATTGTTTCATTTTCTTTCATTGAAGCATCCTCTCTTTTTTTTCTTTTTTTTCTTTTTTCAGAAGAATTGGTCCCATTTTCAATCTTTCTAAATAATTTTACATTACTATAAATTTTTTGTCTTTAATTTTTTCAAAATAACAACAACCTTCAAGTATTTGATAACATTTGTAGTAATCCATATTCATGTCCACAAACCAATATCTCACCATTATCAAGTCTTTTGTAACAACGATCACAAGTATCTAGTGATGGAAACACATCTAATATAATAATTTACATTCTATTTTTTTTTGTCTTCATAATTTACTTTTTTCACAATTTTTAAAATATTCTAACAAAAACAGTAATGTTTTTTCTGTGAGAAGGTTAAAAGATGGTGACTAATAAGGATATGTTTTTGTTTTTTCAAAACATGTTTTTAATTTCACATTGATTTTGTTCATCTAATAAAATGTAAAAATAAATATTTATTGTATTGTAATTGATAATAATAAATAATTTTGTATAATACCTATTAAAAGGTCTGTTTTACAATGTTGTCTACATTGTTATATTATTCGTAGTTGTATATGCCTATATTTTACTATGGTAATTTTCAACATAATAATTATTGAAATTTTATTAAAAATCATTTTACAACTTCATAAATGGATGTTTTTGTATCTTTCAATAAAAAATATTTGAAAGAAATTCTAAAGGTACTTTATTATAATTATGTCTTCTCCAATGAAGAGCCAAAGTTCAAATTCAAAAAATAGTTTCTATACATGTTCCCAAAATTGATTTTGGATTTTTGAGATATTTCAACTTTTTGAGATTTAAGCAGAATCTATTCTATATTTGGAAGTAAAAAAAGTACCAGTTATGTGTATATTCAATCAAAGAATAAATCTGGGTGGTCAAAAAATTTTGGTTTTTAAGTAAAATAATTTCGTCTTCTATGAAAACTATTTTGACTTTTTCCCCTGAAATTGCAATTTCGGGGCTACAAAATAATTTTGTGTGCAAATATATTCTATACATTCATTAAATTAAATGTACCAGATCTAGAAATAGCATAAATATCTAAAGTTACTGGAAGAATATTGTCTAATAAATCTATAATTGATTGATATTCAATGTCTTTGTAAACATTTCCAAATTTACTAGAATTATTTCTCTTATTTTATACCATCCATTATAAGTTAAATCAAGAAGCAAATTTGTACATCAAGGTGAAAAATAGAATTAAAACATGTTCTCTAATATTGAAAGAAACATAAAGAGAACTCAAAATTGAAATAAATGAACTAATTCCAGAAGGTATTGAATGTTGTGAATTATTTCTATTTTTTAGATTTGTTATTGCTTTATGAACAAATAACTGTCCTGATAAATTAACAACTAATGATACAACTCTATTTTATAAAGAATCAGTATTATTTTCAATATCCAGAATCAAATGTAATGTGTTTATATAATCATTTATAGAGTATAAACTCTTTTCTTGAAATCCAATCAATCAAACTCCTTTTATTGAATGTTTCTTCTTTTTTTTCGTTTATTCATCATCATAAAAACAAACTACAAATAATTCTATTTTATCAAAATTATTAATATATGACCTTCCATTAACAAGTTATTTTTTTGCAGTTGGTATAAGAAGTATCAAAAGTTTCATGATATGATATTGATTTATTAAGCAGAAACAAATATTATTGGTATCAATATAGAACCATTGAAAATAATTGGTACTGGTGCACATGCTAAAACTTTTTTGCAAATACAAGTAGTGTTGTCAAGGGACAGTCGTGGGACAAGATGTGACATGTGAATTAAATTACAAAGAACTGACATGTACCTTTACAAGAAATTATTAATACTGAGAGTTTAAACTATAGTTTAGCAACTGCTAAACGGACACTATATAATGCTGGAATTTACTATAAAATCTTGAAATTTGATTCTTTATGGTTTTAAGGAAGGAATTGCTTCAATTGTAAGATCATCATTTTCTATCATTTCTTCAAGCCATCATGTATCTTTATCAATTGCTGGGATCACACTGTCTTGTCATAAAAAACTGAGTCAACACTGCTACTACTTTTTTTAAAAAAAAGTTTATCTGCCACCTTTTAAATCATTTATTTGGAGGTGTTAATTGATTTATTGTGATCATATCTCTTATCATCTAGCAGATGCATAGCATAATTAATTATTTTAGACAGACCAGAGGTCAAAATAAATATTTCCTAATTTTAATTTTGTTTCAACAGTGGTACCCAATGTGATTATCAACCAATAAAAATAAAACACAAGATTTAATAATGTTCAGGTTGATCGAAATTATTTCAAGTTTTATAAATATTCGGTGACGAATATTAGCATGTAAAAATTATCTGTTGATATTCGAAGGGTGTGACACACGGTTATGAATACAATACCCTTGAAAACCCTAACCATTGCGGTATAGGTTACGGCGGTCAACATCACTGGTGTGATAACGCTTTCGTTTTCAAAGTTAATGATTAAGTAAATAATAAAAAATTTAATATTACAATTTTTCTAACCTAAAATCTAAATAAAGAAAAATTAAACATAATGAATTTTCAAATCAAATATTAACATATTTTATTTCTCCCTCCACAAATGTGCATAATGTATCTCAATATTAGTAAAGTAAAGTAAATAATAATATATTTATCATCTATTATTCTTATTATTTTCGAAAACTACTTTGTGAACTTATATTTGTCAAATTATTTTTTTCTTGATTTTTTTGATTATCTTTCTTTGACATCGATTGAATGCGATAGTGATTCATCTGAAGTGGAATTTCTTTCAGTAGATGGTGTCTGAAGTTGTCGAAAACTATCAAAATCATATTCGGAAGTTCCAGATCGACAATTATTTATTGCTTGAAATAATCTGAAAATAATATTTATTAACAATATATGACATGAAGAGACGAGTGCAAGAAAAGGAATTATATCATATGTAACCACCCTTTGTTGATATAAAATCTAAGATATTTAAAACTTTTTATAGTTAGAAAACAAACAAAATAATATTTTTTTTTTTAATATTAATAAAAAGACTGACCTGGATGATCAATTGCGGTATATCTTCAATAAAAATGGTCAAACAAGAAGCCCAAAAGATTCTTTTTTTTCCTTTAATCGAAATTGGAGCTTGGAAAAATTTAAATCCAGCCAAATTTGAATAGAGAATACTTAATGTTTCAATGTCAGCACCTGATAAAACTGTAAATACTGATGCTACCATTTCATGTTGAGTGAACCAATCCAAGAAAGTCTTAGATTTGTTTTCATCACTGATAATGTAAAATGCCCAAATAGCGTTGATACCGATTGGAACAGTTAAGAATACGACACTATTTATATATTGATATATTTATATAAGTTTTGTAATAAATAAATGAAGTAAATATAAATATAACAAAATAAATATGTACATGTATTAATTGATGAATTTACCTTGGAATATATAATACTTCAATGACTTTACCATTATGTCTGACGAAAAGAACATCCATTGCAAAATCAAAAATAATTAATCCAAGTAGTAAAATATCCATGTTACGACCCTTAAAGATAATTTTAATGATTTAAATATACGCGAATTTCCATTTTCCATAATAAAAAATTTACTAAACAAATAAGATGTCATTTTTATACCTTGCTTTCCATTTTTTCCGCTATTAAAAAAAGAACCACTAAAATTACGAGTACCAATAAAAGACACAAAAGTCTCCACTTGTATTTATCCCATAAGTTTTCTAATGAAAAAAAGAAACATTTTAAAGAGATATCAGCAATGATAATATGTCAAATAAGTTATAAGTTCAATAAACACTCACGTTTTGGTTTAAATCCAAAATCTCCATCTAAATACTTCGCGGTATGGCTTAAACCAATGGAAGTCATGTTTTTATATGTAATTATATCATTTAAATTATCTATAATAGATGCTACACTTCTTTCTTCTTTGGATGATTGAATATTAAGTGAAATCAATATTTGACGGCCAGGACTAACAGTGGTATCAACTTGGGTTTTCCCATTTGAACTTAGTCGCTTAATATTAACAGGAATAATTTTAGATAATTCAAGATGCAGATCTGTAAAGAATTGATCTTTCTCAGTTGAATTAAGATTTTCGTAGTATTCGGTACCTTCTTTAGTTAAACGCAACACTCCAGATACTGTGTCTAATGTAGAAATTACAATACTTTTTGAGTGATTTTATATTAAGCACACAAAATGACAATCACACTGAAATCTACCTGCAAAAGTTTCTTTACTTGAACCTAAAAACCGTCAGAATATATTTAAATTAATAACTTATACTAAAATAATATCATTTACATACTTGTATTGAATTTCCAAATATTATCATATATTCCCATTAAGGATTCCCTGTATGCTTTACTTCTTGCAAAATTATTGTCAACTTTAACATAAAATTGGCTATTAGGATTACTAAAGGTACTTTTGAGAACATTTACAGTTACATTTAATCCATTATCAGAGATGGAACAAAAACTATTGGCACCCTTAAAAAGTTGTCGAATAATGTTGTTGCCACTATTATCGATTTGATATATCGTAATATTTCCATCAGAAAGTTCTACCGGTTCATAATATGCAATTGTAATATTTTTTGTCGAAGTTAAAATATTTGCATTTATTGAGGGACTTGTATAATTTACTTGAAAATTTGAAAACCATTGTCTAAATCTATGAATTTAGGAATATCAGTGGTATTAAAACTCCACGTATTTTTATTTTCTATTTGTGATATTAACATAGTATTATTAGGCAGAATTATCAAAGTTCCTCGTGCATTTAAAGCTGATGGCTCTGGAAAATCCCATTCCATAAAATTATTTTCGATTTCGTTAAAATAATATCCATAGACATTGGTACGATTAATCTCATTCCGAAAATAACTATAGTATACATAACCTCCATAAGGAATGCTTTCTATTGACCATCCTGTATAGCATTTTTGTGTAATTCGGGTACGGTTATATTTAATGGAACGATTTCCGTAATAGAGCCAGATGATAAGAAATTAAGTTTCACATAATAATCAACATTGTTCTGTGTGATGGTGAGTATACAAACTTGTCCAATTCCAGTACTTGAAATACCAGTAGCTATACTAGATATTGTAATATTATCTAAGGGTAATTGATAAATCATTTTTGGTGCACCAAATTGTTTATCATTATATCTTTTTGTTAAAGCATACACAGCGGAACGAATTTCCAAAGGATTGTTGTTACCAGAATTAGTGGAGTTGGTGGAATTTCCCATAATTATACTATAACCCTCGTCAACAGTAGCTATGGTGTTAAATACTGTAGAACTTTCATTGTTTTGGGGAAGTGTAATATTTCCTTCGTATAACCTTTTAAGATTGAATGAATCATCTCTAAAAATAAAATAAAAATTGTAAAATTGTAAAATATTATAATTTTATGGTATAAAAAACTCACATCACATATTGTTGCCACTCGATATAAGAAGAATTCATCCCAGCTATCCTTATGAAACCTTTTTCTGGATCAACGTTAGTCACTATTGTCGTTGCTGATGGATACCAAATACCATTTTCGATGTAAGCTCCCCCAAAATCTACTTCACTTCATAGTTTGGAATATATTTTTTAAATAAAAATAATAATAATTGTAATTTTTATTAAAGTTGATTAAATATAATATGATAGAATTATTGAAAATATTTACTCATATAAATTGCCATTCCAATCAATAATACGTCCACATTCTTCATAAGTTGCAATATCTTCCGGATTTGAAGCATTGAAGTATCTAACAAGTGTGTAGCCCTTTCGAAGCGCGAATATACTTATAGGGTCCAGGACATTACCACTTGGACTTGTAGTAAGGTGCCAATTAAATTCTGGAATTTCTAAGTCTTTGTCTATTTCACTGACTGTTCCATTGGGATGAATAATGCGTAAAGATAGCACTGGTCTTGCCCACGCTTCTCCAGCAACCTGTGTTTTATTAGGATTCCTATTAAAAATTCGAAGAACCACCGTCCCATCGATATATTTCCCGTATTGCCATATCCATGGTCTTGTTTCGAATGGAATTGTTTCATTATGTGTAAAAGTTCCAAAACCTGATACCGAAGAAGTCAGAAAAAAATTTTTTATCAATGCTAATAACAAAATCATTTAATTTAAATTTGATATTATCATTATGATGAAATAATAAATGTAGAAATTTAGAAATTTTAATTTATAAAAAAAAAATAATAATTTTGTAAATTCCAAAATTTGGCATCAAGCTTTGTTTATAGTGTTTTATTTTTTGTTTTTGCTTTTCTTTTTTTTTTGTTTGGTTTGTTTTTATTTTTTAGTTTTTTTTTTTTATTTTGGATACGGGAAAAAAGTTATTACGCTGAGCTGTTTCGAAATTCCTCTAAAAATAATTTCTTTAAGATATTTAGGTGCTAAATAAATAAACGGTTGTGTACAAAAAATATGCACACTCTAAAAATAAAAACGCAATATCCATTTTTCTCCACATTATGAATATGATAGTGGGAATGCAATCTTTTTGATATATGTTGATCGATCTAAAAAAATATTATTTTATATACCACTTTAGGAATACTATTACGTTATACCGGGATATATCATCAAAAATAATTTTTACCACAATAATATAGTAATATACAGTAATGTTTATAATAAATTTTTCGTCTAGCGCAAAAAAATTTTTTTTTAGTAATTAATAATAATTTTTTTTTTTTTAAAAAATAAATTTTATTCTTTCCCAATTTTCAAAATGACATCACATCATCAGGAATTTCATAATGTGATTTGTATTTATTTTTTACAATTAGCTAGTCATGTAAAAATTAAATACATTGTTAAGAAAGCTAATAACTTTTTTTTTAGAAAAAGAGCCATTCAAAATTATGGCACATCTATCGGACCTTCATTGTTAACCGGAGACAATGAATAATCCGATGATTGTGTCCTTTGAATTAATATTATGATGTGATTTTATATTTAACTTATAATTTTCCAAGAGATAATAAAGGTATAATAGAATGTCGTTCATTTCAAACATTTATGTATTTATATAGCAATGATTTACTTTACCAATTAATATCGTATTGAGGGTGCACGAATTCCACATGGGATGTGCACGGGATTTCGAAATGTTGCGGAAGTCACGGGAGATGACAGTAAGATGACAGTTTACCAGGATGTGTGTAACCGTGTAGGTGACGGATTATTCATCCTTGTACGAAGTATTTCATCCTCGTACGTTATCTTTCATCCTTGTGTGTCATCTTCTAAAAACAGGAAACGTGTCTAGACGCGACAACAAAGATGAAAAGAAAACAAGTTCGAAAATGTATATATTAACTGATAATTTGGAGTAAGAAAAAGGATCGGCTTTTATAACATTTTTATAAATTTCGGGGATCTACGAACATTTTTAAATAATAATAATAGTGATAATAATAATAATTTTCAAAAATAAATAATATATTCTGTAATAATTGAAAAACTTAATAAAACTTTATTTCGTGATAAATGGTAATATTGGTGAGAAACGGTTAACAGCCCGTAATACCTTTATTATCAAATTTTTTTTTTGTAATAAATTTGATAAACCATTTAATTTCTTGATTAAAGTTACTGCATAAAGTTAAAACCTAAGATTCGAAAGTTTGCGGAACAAGTTGGTAAAGATACTTTTACTCCACTTGCTCACGTACCTTCAGATCACGCCAGTGTGTGTAGTTGTTTAAGAATATCTGTAGTACTTGACCGGCGTAATCAGGTTGTAGCCTGACTGGGATAGTATACAGTTGCGAAATATTACGTACGACCTGCGAAAATTAGGTAGGGAAACCTAACAGGAAGTATAGTGTAGTTTCGAAGTGTTACGTACGCTAAGAGGTGTGAAACGAATTCGATTTAGTGAGACTGATTGTCGTAATTTTACACTCTGTTCAAGGCAGACTGCCACAGTATAATAATAATATAATATGGTTAAGTAATTAGAGTAATAAGAAAATTCTCGTCGTCTAAATTATAATTTACTTTAATTATTAAATAAACGGTCGAATATAAGAATTTAAAAATATAAATCAGTAGTTCTTTCATTAATTATTAATCTATCTATAGCATTACATTGTATCAGATGTTCGTAATGAAAATTAATTAATTTTCAATTCTAAAATAATGAAATTCATATTATTTATTTTATTTATTGTTAAAGAACAAATATTTACTCACATCAAGACGCTAATTATTAATGTAAATATTCCGTCGTTTATTATACTTAGTTTAACGAGCCAATTCTAAACTTCTATAAATATTATTTATTAATCTTGAAAAAAAAAATTTAAAGAAGAAGCAGTTACGGATAATATCGATAATAATGATAATAATGATACTATGTTTTTTTCTAAAAAAAAAAAGACGAGTGTCGGTTTCTTCTCCTTTTACCAAAATATCATATCATATCATTTTTCTTTTATTTATTTTATTTCCTTTAATCTATCCCTTTTTTTTGTTGTTATTATTCTTTAATTATGATTTTTTTTTCTCTTCTATTATTTTCTTTCTTTCGTTATTTTTTCTTTATCATAAAAAAAAAGTATATTTTCGACAATATTATATAATTCAAGTTCAATTTAATAATTTTTATTACATCATTTGAATAATGACTTTATTTTTTATATTAATTGATCACGTTTATTATTATTATTATTATTTTAGAAAATGAATGAAAACTAAAAGATGTTTCATGTACTGTAACCAATTTATAATGATAACATTACTTTTTTTTCAAAAAAAAAAGAGCCTTTGGGTAATAGTTTATATATCTATATTAGATTCATATGTTAAAATTAAAAACTTAAACTTCTTTCGAAAGAATGAGTACAATAATTTATTTATTTAAAACAAAAAAAAAAAATTCGAAAAAAAACAGCTGTCCTCTTCCGAAAAAGATCCTTCGATACTAAAGACCGGATATTCTAATTTGTGAATTGCTCACAAAAATTCTGATGGATAAAGTAGTGTTTAAGGTTTTTTTTTTCCTCCGGTTAGTGTGGTTGTTGCAATTAAATAAATGCCGTTTGTGCCTCAAACCCTTCTATGAGATTTAAATTCTAAAAAAGTTATTTTAAAAACTTTAAAATTTTTTAGGAATGAGGTCACAAGACTTTTCAGAAAAAAAAAACTTCGTTGCGCACTCGATCGTCTTGCATCATCATTCATCTTATTTTAAATAAAGAATTAACAAATCTATTTTCGTTACATATATTGTATTTTATATTAATAATAAATACAATAGATACAGTACATTCATGCAATATTGTATTTTATAAGAAATCATTAAATTGATAAATTATTTTGTGGGTAAGCAAATAAAAATATAATGTTTTATGTTATTTAATAAAAATATTATTTTGATCGTTTAAAATTTTTTAACAATTGCAAATACTTCATAATTATCAATAGAAAAGTGTTCTGATGAATTTCTTATTGGTTTTTCGTAATAATGATAAGTCCCAGTAATGTTACAGAAATTATCATTACCTAAATTACTATACAAACAAATAGCATATCCAAAATATGGACCATAAGTATTTTGATAATTTCTGGACCTATTTTTAATTGGATATTTGGCGTTTTTACTCTGCTAATAATTGAATTTTTGAATATTACCATTTTTTAATGAGAAAATGAAACTATCTTTTGTTTCTACCCAATTATTCGTAGTATTAATATTATCCCATGTTAAAGGATTATATAGTCTCCAATAATTTCTTCAGTTCCTTTAACTTTCGCATCAACAACTTTATGAACATGACCAATGGCATAAATTCCAAAATGTTTGTGGAGCAAAACCATCTTTAGTTCCACGCAAAACTAATTCAAATTTATATGGAACATTTGTTGTTGAATAGTTAGTTGTTTTACGGTCAATCCAACTAAAAATTTCTGCTGCATGATTTTCAGAAATGATAGTTGAAAAAGGTTCTTTTGGTTCATTTGTACGAGGAGGTAATTCTGTGACCAAAATTGATCTTTCTGGTAAGATAATCGATTCTACTGGTCGGTCAGGAGCAAGTGAATGCTGTTTAATGTCTTCCCAAAGTTGTTTATCAAGAATTTTTTTTTATAAGGCCTGATTTTATCATAAATTTCAATATTTGAAATATGAAAGTAACGAATGAGTGGAAGGCATTGTTGTAATGTTGTTCTTAATGTTAAAAAGTTTTCCTTGGTCCATTCTTTAAAGTTGGTAGGAAGAGTAGGATTCCGAGAGCAATTCCCCACTTGATAACGTAATCCCAAATTTAAGTTTCTTTCATTTGCAAATCGTCTCGTTTGAGAAGAAATACTAGTGAAGATACTGGAAGAGAAGTGAAATTTGAACTATCAAAAATAATATTTGGATGCTTGACTACAATATTATTACAAAAATTTTCCAAATTTTTAAAGTTTTCTTTGATAAAAATAGAACGGTAGACTAAAGTAAAATGAGTTTTCAACCAAGAAGCTTTATCTTCAGTAAGAATAGTTTCTAATTTGTTGGATAATTCTGCAAATTCAAATTCATTAGCAGCTAACATTAAGTCAAAAATAAATTTAGTTTCAACATTTCTAAATTAACAATCCCACCATAAATATAAAAAAAAATAATAAATTAATAAAATGATAATACGATAATGCCAGTTAGTTATGTATTAAAAAAAAATGATAATACTATAATAAATTAAAATTTTCAATATAAGTAATAAAATTTTTATTATTGATAATGACTTAAGGATAACATCAAAATTTGAGCAGAAATGCTTGACTTTGTAATTATTTTAATATTATTCTCATTCGGTTGAATATTTTCTAATTCTTTACTGAAATAAGACGATCGAAATTTCAATACATTAGAATGTGCCGTCAAAGTTTTTGCCTCATTTTCAACTTGAATGATTACATTGTAATCATCCTTATCTTTAAGGAGTTCAATAAAATTTTGAGATAACTTGTCGAAAAAAAAAGGGGAAGGTTAGCAAAATTGGAATACTTAATTTCTGATCCATTTAAAGAATTGACCGACAATCTGTTACACAAGACTTTTCGTAAGTTTATAAAATGTCTAGACAATACGATATTAAATACTTATTAAAGTTCTTCTTTTACAATAATTTGCTTATTTTATTAGTAAATAAGCAATATACAATAAGTTTTTCTAGAGTTTGAAGTGATCAATTGAATTAGAGATGGTTTTGAGGGCTAGAGCTGGGTTTGTGATCAGGTGACAGATTAGATATCTATTTGATAAGTTGTTTAGTTTAATAATCTACATAACAATGTATTGTAAAAAATCATTATTATATGTAAATTTTAGAGCTGAATACTTTACTTAAGACCCAATCGTGGTTAACATAATAAAATATTGAAGGATTTTGATACTTCTTCGAAATAGGTATTTCTACTCCAGCCAATCAAAGCGCGCAGATCTTAATTGTAATTGGATAAAAATGACATTCTGAAAATTGAGAATTTTACTTTAACGTCAAAAGGTATCAATTTGTTTCCTTGACGATCACATTCGTTTCCTTTTTCCAAAAAGGAGCGATTTCCTCAATAATAACGAAAACTTTGTAACCTTATTTTATACCGCAGGGGTTAGGGTTTTCAAGGATAGTGTATTTATAACCGTGTGTCCCATTCTCGAATATCAATTTTCATTAGATATCACATTACTGTATATTAGTCTCTAGTATTTATCACACGCGATCACATAGTATCATGTGTCTATTATTTATAATCGTGTTTTATTTTTATTGGTTGATAATCAACACTGGTGTTGAACATCACTGGTGTGATTTAACAATGTCGTTTAGCAATAATATCGTTATTTGAGCTGATAACTCGTTAGGAATTCAAGGTGAAAAGGTTTTAAAAATATGATTATCTAAATGTTGCTAAAAAAAATTTAACCATTTCAAACTATCAATAAGGAGTGGGGCTGAATAAAGGCATACCTATAAATATTTATGAGATAAAATGAATGGAGGCACATCTGTAAATAAAATGAATATTATTATTAAATATTATGTAAATATTGAATATTTTAATTTAAATTTATTAAACCTTTATTTACTTTATTTAACTTTTTAACTTTTTTGTTTAAAGTGGATGAATCGACAATGAAATAAATATATATATAAATGGAATTATAGAACAACTGATCTCAGAATTAATTTTCCTATTATAGACATTTTTAGCGTCATAACAAGTTTTTTTTGAAAGTTATAAAAAGATTAAGATTTAACCAAAGAGTCAGAAGACAAATTTTACAAAAATTATTTTAGGCTTTATTATTTCCAACACTTCTCTTTAAAATTTCTTTAAAATCTTTTACTTTCTTCAATATTATGTTGCATATTATTCATATGTTTATTCTTTTCCTTTAATATTCTTTTTATTCTCTTCAACGTTATGCCTGTATATTTATTCATATGATGTTTATTATATTGACTCAGTTATTTAAATTATAGTTTGCAATTAGTCACCTTTTTTACATTATTCATATTATTCTCTTCACTTTATCTTTACCCTAATCACATACTTTATCAGCTAAAATAAACATATTATGTGCATTGCATGATTAAACTTTATTATTCATATTATTTATTACATCATTATTATTGCTGAATAATATTAAAAGTGGCATAAAATTAAGGTACGTTAAAGATTACTTAATCGAAGCTTATAATTTTAAAAGGATCTCTTAAAAAAAAAACGAGAAAAATATTGTAACCAAAAAAAAAAAAATTCGAAAAAAAACGAGGAAAATATTGTAACCAAAAAAACAATAAAATCGAAAAAAAGAAAAATATTGTACCCAAAAAAAAAAAAGTATAGAAAATAAAAAATATAAAAAAATCAAGAAATTATCTGTATGCCAGAAATTGTTTTGCCAAAAAATAAAATATTATTAGATTTGCCAGAAATTATTTTGTCAAAAACATTATTTTGTTTTCCAGTGTTTGCCAAAAAAAATATTGCCAGAAATAGTTTTGCCAAAAAAAATTATTATATTTGTCGGTGTTTTTTTTTTAAATTATTTTTCCTCGAAAAATATCATTAGATTTGCCAGACAAAAAAAGTACACCGAATCATGGAAACCCTATTCCATTGATTATGTCATTATTGTTATTATAATTATTAAAAAGACGCCTGTAAAAACGTCGTCTTTTGTAGTCATTGTTAATAACGTTTACTTCGCTTGCCAGCAAGTCAAAAGTTCTTCTTTGACTGGGTGATGCCGAATTCCAAATATTTCGGCAAAGATCTTTCGTAAGTAGAATGGATTCATATTTTGAATGAATTTCGAGATGTATGAATAGGGCTTTTATTCCACTTAATTGGACTTCGCTATACAAGGTATAACGAATTAAGTCGTGAATATTCAATGGACGATCTAGTAATGACAAATCCATTTATATATATTATATTATATATTATTAATTTTTTTTTGAATATATTATATTATATATTAATTTTTTTTTTTGAATATTGTGATAATAAAAATATGAAAATTAAGAAAATTAAAAAAATTATTAAAATTATAAAAATAAATAAGTTAAATATACGTAAATAATTAATTATGTAATGCTAATAGTAATAGGTAAATAAGAAACTGTCATGAAAAAAAATTCAGAAGCTCTATTTATAAAAAAAAAAAAAAATTGAATTTTTATACAAGTAATTAAAGAATTCACAGCAAAAACCGCACATTATTATTTTAGAATACTGTGAATTTAATGCGTAACCTTGATAATGATTAAAGTTTTCGAGATAATGACATAATTTACGCGCCTATAACCTTATGACAATAAATTTTCACGCCCATAACCATATAAAATAAATTTTCGCGCAGTATTATAAGTTTTTTAACCAAACATCACAAATGAATATTTGCTGCTTATGACCAAATCATTATAACAAAACAATCAATAAAGTTTTTGTACTTGGAAATTCTAACTTGTTATAGAGAATAACAGAAAAGAAAGATTTAATGAATTAACGCCAAAGAGTTTAATACCTTATTATGGTAGGGCCTTCCCCAGATTAAATATTATTATAGAATTAAATAATCCAATGAATATTAAGATAAATGACGTAAGCATTATTAGATTTTTAATTTAAATTAAAATGAAAGTTTCTTCTATGATGCAAAATAAGTATTATTAATGTTTTTTTTTTTATTTGTGTACAGTATATCTAATATAATTTAAAGATGTTCATCGATATTTAATATTTGAAGCATCAAATAAGGGCTTGAAATTTTGCAAACCGAATTTTTTTTTTATAAAGAATATAAATTCAAAAATATTAATGGTAATAGATAAGTTGTACATATTATACATATCAATTTATAAAAATAATGTGAATAAGGAATAATAAATTGAAATTTAAAGTATAACTTTTGTCATCATTTAAATCTAATTTATATAATCAAAATTTGTTCTAAGCATAACTATTTGAAAAGAATTCAAAAGATTGTTTAAAAAAATTATTCAATGATTAAGATATTATTAGAATATTAAAAGAGATAAAAATAAATAGAAGCAATTACCAGTAAGACCAGTTTATTATTAAATATTTATATTAACTTCGAAACTTTTTACAGTACGTATTTGTATTATACGTATATGCATTTCCAGTTTTCATATGATTTTTTTTTTTTTGCGCCATTTAATAATTTGGGAACTTTGTATAACTACCAGTGACCGTGATTACTTGAAATTTTATTATTTATCACTATTTATTAATATAGGGATAAAGAGTTTATCCAATATTTATTGATATAGGGATAAGAAGTTTATCCAATATTTTGTAATAATTGTCAATTCGTATAAGGAAAAGATTTTTAGCAATTATTGTTGTTATTACGCCTACTTTATCATCGACACAAATATTTATGATTGAGAGCATACGTTTTTTAATTCTTCGAAGGATATGAAATTACCAGTTTTGCCTCCCACATTATGAATATGCTTGATATGTTAGTGATATGGATATGTAAGTGTAACATGTTGTCATATTAAATTATTTAAATTGAAATAATTTATATTTTTATTTTAGATAAAAAGATGTGATGAGATCGACGACGAAGTCTGTGCATCATGCATTCAGTATATAAATCATTAAACTTTTTAATATATACTGTATATACAATCGACAATTCACATTTGTTATTCAATTATTCATATCAATAAGTAATCAGACTTTAACTCAAGAACATAATTTTCTGAATCAAAGTAAATTTTACTAACAAATAATTCAATAATTTCTTATACAGTATACATAATCAAAAAAAATTTTTAATCGGAGCTCGGAATTTCTTGTTAACTAAATCATCAAATGATACATTCCCAAAAATAGTCAAGTGAAGTATATATTTAATTTAATTTAAATTAAATTGATTCTATTGATTCCAAAATAAGTTTCATTAATTAATTTAATATTTATCTGATATGCAATTATAAAATTTAGATTTGAAAAATCAATAAGGGCTTAAAGTTTTGCTTTCAATTGAAAATGGATTTTTTTTTTTTATCAAAATATAATTCAATAATATTAATAATATTAACGGCAATAAATAAATTTATATATAAAACATTTATAAAAGTAATGTGATTAATAAGAAATATTTATAGCAAACCCTGTGCAATTATGTACAAAGATAAAAGAGAAACATCCAGTTTTTTTTTTGAATATTTATGAATCAGAAATAGTTAAATTGAAATTTAAGTTCAATAAGCATTTATTATCATTTAAATTCAATTTATTAAATCTTTTTTTTTTTTTTTTTGATACGGAGTAATATCTTTTTGTGATAATTTTTAATTGTAATTTGGAGTAATATCTTTTTGTGATAATTTTAATTGTAATAGAAACGTGTTCTTAATATAACTAATTATTTTCTTTTTGAAAAAAACTTTCTTGTAAAGTTTTATAATTATTCAAAAGATTGTTTAAAAAAATTATTTAAAGATTAAGAATATTATAGAATATTAGAGGAGAAAAATCAATAGAAATGTCGAAGCAATTACCAGTAAACCAGTTTTATTGATTTAATATTTATATCAAAGAAATCTTATGTTTATTCATTCGTATGACAATTTTTTTGGCTTAAATATCTCTTTTTTTTAACGCTATTTTATTTTTGTATTTTATTTACATTTGTTATTTCCAGTTTATCATTACACCATTTAACAATTCAATTTATATATCTACCAGTGATTACTTTATTTCTTTATTAACAAAATTTTTATTATTTTCATTATTAACCATTATTAATCATTATTAATCATTGTTTATTGTTGCTTATTAATTATCATCATATCAATATCATAATAAAACTAATATATAGATATATGATATTCCCATTTTGTAATAATTACCAATTCTTCATAAATTCGATAAAAGGAAATGATTTTTAACTTTTACGCCTACTTTTTTATTATCGACATAAATATTTGGAAGCATGTAATTTTATCTTAAAAATATAAATTCTCCCTTTTTTCGTCTCGTAATTCATGTACATCGAAGATAATGCTTAATTTGTATATCGATATGACATGCAAGTGTAATCATGTGATTTTTTTAATTTGAAATATTTTACAGTATGATTAAAAATATTTATAGTTAAGAATTCAATATATAATATATATACTCACGTGTGTCTTTATAGTATATATAAAATGAAGAAATTATATAAAAATCGTGCGTGCATATAAATACTATTTATTCTATATTATTTATAAGTGTAAAAACTTTATTTGAATCTTAAATTTACGTAAAACAATAACAATTACAAAAAAAAAAAAAAATACTAAACTTTCTAGAAGGACATTGTCAATATCTAACAATACTATTTTTATATTACAAAAAAAATCATATAATATGAAATCTTCACGGTTCCAACACAAATTGTAAACATTACTTCCATAAAACCATTTAGTTCTTATCGATTATTATTTTCAGGATGTTATAAAAATTTTGAAATATAAGTATAATGAGGAGTAGATGATTAATATGAAAAAGTTCCGAAAGAAAATAAGAATGCATTAAATAAAATAATAATGATCATCATGATTAATGCTTGCTACTTCCAGGTCTGGAACTACTACTTTTAGTTCTAAAAAGTGAAAAGCAAGCAAACTTGAAATTTATTCAGATAGTAAGTTAAAAATAAAAAAACAACATTACTTTTAATTCACTCCTCTTTATCATTTATAACTCATTTATCGTTAGATATCTGAATATGAATACATTATACGTAGATGTTATTATTATTAGTAAATATTAAGGTATCATAAAACACGCATAATGACATAAGTCGATCAAAGAAAATCGACTACGGTTAGTCAATAATTTAACTGGCCGATTAGTCGATATAATTATTATCTCAAAATACCATTAAAAATTTTTATTTCCAATTTTTGGGGTCGTCTAAATCAGTGTCCATCACGAGATTTTCCGTTGACTATGAAGAAAAAAAGTGAAAAACATGAAAAAGAAACAGATATCTGAACATATCTTGGTGCATTAATAAAAAGTGTCGGGAGGCAATTTTACACATAATATCTACTTAAAACCTAACACTAACCCGGCACTCCTCTAACATTCATTAATTTCAGGTAATCAGATGATGGACGGCTTTAGACATCCCCCAATTTATAAATTAGACGCCTAACCGTAAGTCATTAAAAATCGACCGACTTAGCGGGCTAGTCGATCTGATTTAATTATTGTTAGGTAAGTGATGGATCATTGGCGTATTCGTTAAAATAGTACGCATAAATAACTACCGTAAGGAATAATTTCTACATCCTTTAATGGTATTTGAAGGAATTCGAGTAAGTTTCTTCTTAATGGGATGACTTCCGTAACAGAGCCATATTATAATAATTTCCGGTAATATTAACAAAGTTCTGTATGATATTGAGTGTACAAACTTGCCCAATTCAAGTACTTGAAGCATCAGAAATACATTACTTATTGTAATATTTTCTAATGGCAATGGATAAATCATTTTTGTACACTAAATTTTTTATCATTATATCCTTTTGTTAAAGCATACACCGTGGTACGAATTTCCAAAGGATTGTCGTAGTTGATTTGGTAGAATTCCTCATAATTATGCTATAACCCTCGTCAAAAGTATCTATGGTATTAAATGCTGCAGAATTTCCATTTGGTTGACTTTTAATTTTGAATGCATATTAAAATTAAAATTTATTAAATATAATATGATATAATATCAGATATTATGTAATATGATATGATTATGATAGAATTACTGACAATATTTACTCATATAAATTGCCATTCCAATCAATATTACGTCCCTATTCTTCATAGTATTAATATCGCCCAGATTTGGAGTATTAAAGTATGTAACAAGTAAGTAGCCTTTTTGAAGTGAATGTATATTTGTAGGATCAAGGAGTTAACCCTCAGGCCTGTAGTAATGTGTCTGGAATCTCTAAGTCTTTTGTCTATTTCTCTGACAGTTCCATTGGGATGAATAATGCGTAAAGATAACACTAGTCTTATCCACGTTCATCAGAAGATGTTTCTTAGGATCCAAATTCAATAATTCGAAAAACCACTGTCCCATCGAAATATTTCCTGTATTGTCATATCAGTGGGTTTGTTTCGAATGGATTCGGTTCATTATGTTAAAATTGTTGCCCACGTTATTGGCAAAGCCATCAAATTTAAACTTGATTCTATCATTATGACGAAATAGAATAATGAAATAATGGATATAAAAAATTTGAAAAAAACTATGATAAATTTTGTAATTCCAGCTTGCATTATTTTTTGTTTTTGCGTAAATGAATTATAGGTACTTTTATGTAATGGATACGATAAGTTGTAAAAAAAGAAACATTTTAAAGAATGATTAATAATGATAAAATGTTAAATAATTTATAAAATTCAAATATATTCACATTTTGGTTTAAATCCAAAATCTTTATCTAAATACTTTGTGGTAATGGAAGTCATTCTTTTATGTGTAATCATTTCATTTAAATCATCTATAATAGATGCTACATTGGATGATTCAATATTAAGTAAGATCAATATTTGATGATTAGGACTAACAGTGGTATCAACTTGGGTTTTCCGATTCGAATTTAGTCGCTTAATATTAACAGGAATAATTTTAGATAGTTCAAGATGTAGATCTGCAAAGAATTGATCTTTTCCGGTTGAATTAAGATTTTCGTACTTTTTGATACCATTAACAATTGTAGAATAATGTTATTGCCACTATCTTCGGTTTGATAGATTGTAATATTTCCATCAGAAAGTTCTACTGTTTCATAATATGTGATTGTAATGTTATTCGTTAAAGTTGAAATATTTTCATTTATCGAAAGACTTGTAGAATTTACTTGGAAATTTAAATAATCATTATCTAATCGATGAATTTAGGAATATCAGTGGTCAAAAAACTCCACGCGTTAATATCTTACAATTGTGATATTAATAAAGTATTATTAGGCGATTTTATAAAATTCCTCGGGGACTTAAGACTGATGGTTCGTTAAGTTCCCATTCAATAAAATTTTTCGAGGATTCGTTATAATAGTATCCATAAATATTGTTCTGCATTTTTGCATCCCAAAAAATAACCATAGAATATATAACCACCACAAGGAATACTTGATTCAAACCATCCCGTAGAAATTGTGGGTAATTCGTGTAAGCTGTTTAATGAGATAGAGATGATTTCCGTAACAGAGCCAGATGATAATAAATCAAGTTTCACATGATAATTTTTGGAATTATTGACAAAGTTTTGTGTGAGGTTGAATGTACAAGTTTGTCCAATCCAGTATTTGAAATACCAGAAAATATATTAGATGCTGTAATATTAGCTAAGTTTGATTAATAAAGCAGTCTCGGTGCACCAAATTTTTTATCATTATATCCTTTCGTGAAAACATACACCGAGGTGCTAATTTGTCGTCGTCACTGACATTAGCCATAATTATGCTATAACCTTCGTCAACAGTACCCACAGAATCATATGCTGTTACATTTTGGATAAATGGAATTGGAATATTTCCTTCTAATAACTTTATAAAGTTGAAGAATCATCCCTATAAAACAAAAAAAAATTTTTTTGAATTTGAAAAAATTGTAAAATCAGAAATATCAAACATATGACATTGCATAAAAAACTTATATCGTGTATTGTTGCCACTCGACATAATTTTCCCTCCAAGCTATAATTATAAAACCTTTTCTGGGTCTGCGTTACTTGTTATGTACGTTTTCGTCAGGGACCAATGTACCATTTTCGATGTTAGCCTTTGAGAAATTTACTTTACTTTATAGTTCAGGATAAATTTTTGAACGAAAAGTAATAATAATTGTCATTGTTATTAAATTTGGTTAAATATAATATGATTATGATAAATTATTGAAAATATTTACTCATATAAATTGCCATTCCAATCAATAATACATCCCCATTCTTCATGAGTATTAATATCGTCCGGATTTGAAGCATTATAGTATAAAACAAGTAAGAAGCTCTTTTGAAGAGCATATATATTTACAGGGTCTAGAAGAAAATTATCAAAACTTATAGACCTGGAGATTCCAGAATTTAACTACATCTATTTCGCTGACTGTTCTATTGGGATGAATAATACGTAAAGATAAAACTGGCCTTAGCCACAGTTCACCATCATTAGGATTTACGTTAGCAATTCGAATAACCACTATTCCATCGAAATATTTTTCGTATAGCCATATCCGTGGCGTTGTATCGAATGAATTCGTTTCATTATGTGTAAAAATTCCAAAACCAAATACCGAAGGCGTCAGAGAAAAAATTGTCATAAACGCTATTAGAAAAACAATCAAATTTAGACTTGGTCGTATCATTGTGATGAAAAAAATGAAAATAAGAATTTTAATTTATTTGAAAAAAGAGTGAATTTCGACCAAAGAAAATTTAGTAAAAAGCTTTTTTATTTTTTGTTTTTGATGGAAAAGAACCTTAAGTACTTTTATTTAATGGATATGAGAAAAAAATTTTTTGAATTGAGTAGTTCTAAAGCCAATTTCTTTACATATTTCAAACGATTAGATATTAAATAAATAAACGGTTGTGTTTGTTGCCTTAAACTAGTATATGTATGCACTTTCTAAAAATAAACCGATATACTTTTTTTTTACCACGTTATTAACATGGTACGATCGTTCGGATTATTTTCCATGTGTTCTACATTTTTGCATAAAAATTTTTTCATCCAATTAATTAAGGTTTGTTTCATATTTATAAAATACAATCTCCGGAGTCCAAATAAATTGCCTTTTACATAATATTTTGTTCATTTTTGCTAAGAAAATTTAATTATTAACTAGGCATTATTTTTTTAGTGTAACTACTTCACTGCCATTGGGATATACAGTACATGTCGTGTTACATAGTGTGATTTGTTATTTAAATTTATGAAAATTAATTAGATTAGAAAACTTGCAGAACATTGGATGGATAAAGTTCGCTATTAATTTACCTTCTCCCCCACGACTTGTTGTTCCGCACCATCGCGACCCCCTCTAGTTCCACCATGACTTCCACTAATGAATTTACAATAATAAGACTTACTGAATGGCATCATTATTATTATTATTTAATTTATCAGATTTATAATTTTCTTACCTGTAAATTATCGAAATTGAAGATCTTATCGAAAATCATAAAATAATAATCAATAATGAGGATTATGAAAATCTCCATATAAGTGATTTTTTATTTGTTATGTTTAATTGGTTAATTTTATTTTATATTTCTAATAAAAAATTAATTTAACAAAGAAAAGATTTTTTGAGCAAATTTTAATTGAGATATCATGAAATAAAAATAAATATAGGACCCATAATCCCTTAGCGATTTAGAAGATTAAGAAAATCGCAAGAAATTTTCTTTATTAAATAAATAAAGAATACAAAAAAAATATTATTATTTTTGTTGTTGTTGTATTTGTTGCATATTATTAATATTCAATTTATCAATAGATTCCGATAAATTTTTATCGTTTGATTCTGGTTTTTTCATTTTACAATCATTATGTACAATAATTTTTTTCTCTGAATATAAACGATAGATTTTTTTTTCATTGTAAAAAATTTGATATTTACGAAGATGCTCTATCAAGAAATATTGGGTACCAGGAATTGGTACCATGCGAGTTGGAGTAGTATCGCTCACATCTTCACCTCTGATAAATTTTGGAATTGAAGTTTCATCACCATTTTCTTTTAAAAAAATCAATATTGCACTATTTCTAGAGCCAGGGATGGTCGAGAGTTTGATTTTGAAGTTCAATCCTTCGAATGATTGAGTATCTTTATCATCAATGATATTTCCGTCATTGTCCCTATTTTCAAGTAAGATAGAACCAGCAATAGACATTTCTGTTATATATAAAATCTAAAGAAGAGTTAGTAATGTATGAATTTGATAAATTATTAAAAATATGTATTTACTTATGATTTTTTGAAGATAAATATTCTTTGGACGATATTTTCGGCATCTCGATAATAAAATGATGGGATAATTTTATATTGTTTTATAGTCATTGTTTCCAAATGAGAAATGGTTAAAGATAAGATATATATTTAAAGAATTTGGGCGCTTTGTTTGAATGGTACTAAATTTGTTGGGCTGTGTTGTATTACATATTACAGGTGAATATTTATTATCTTTTTTAGATATACATATTTGTATATAAATAATTAATAATAATGCGTGTTTTTTTTTTTTATAAAATATGCTATTTTTTTAATCTTTTAATTTTTTGAACAGAAAATGAATGAATCTGTCACCACTTTGTTTGAAAGAAATAAATATTATTTTCAAAAGAAGTGTTGTCGACATTTTTAGTTTGGAAAAAATAGACAGACACGATTGTTCCGACAAGTTACATTTTGTAAAGAAAGATGCGACCATTTGTAAATGTGATAAATCACGATTATGACGATGACGACAAATGAGGATTATAATGACGATGATGATGATAATATGTAAGATTATTTCTTTCACATAATAATGAATTAATAATTTTATTAATATATAATGATAAAGATAATAATTAAGATATTAAATATTATCTTATGAGAAATTATTTCTTTATAAGTGTATATATATATACGTATATTGCATTTTTTAAAAATAAAATGAATTTACCTATTTTTAATATAATATTTAATCAAATGACATTGAAGGAATCCCTATGTTCTATTTTCGTATGTGTGATATTAAATTTAAAAAACATGACGAAGTGATGACAAAGTTAAATACATTACATTCGTCAAAAATTGAATCAACAATTCTTCCAAATTATGAATTTGGATTTAAAATATGTCGTAAATTAACAATTCTTAAAAAAAAATGGTGTTCAATTAAAAGAAACTCCGATAATGTTTACAAGAAATAGTATAAGAGATAAAAAATTTAGATAGATTATATGAATCAATTAACAATTTAAATCGAAATTTAAAAGCGTGTTAGATTAAGAAAAATGATGATGTTATAATTAGCCCGTAAACGGAAAAACGAGTTGGAAGAATACGAAAGACAAATTAAGAAAATAAACCAAATATTGTAATAAAAAAATTAAACCAAGAATTATGTTTTAAAATTTGTAGAACAAATCATTTAAAACATAATAATAATATAATGAAATCGCTTCATATTACCCAACAAGATTTTTTACAATATAAATGAAACATATTTTATTAATGTAATAATATATAAAATAATTATAAATATAAAAATATTTTTACTTTAAAACCATTTAAGCTTCTCTTGTTCAAGTCATTGAACTCTTAATCAGTTCCACAGGTAAAATTTCATTCAAAAGAATATTAATAAATTGATGAGGGTTATATTCTATTAGTTTTTAAATATGGTTTAATATATAATATACAATATACACGTCGTGATAAAATTTAGAGATCATTTACAGGGTTTTGTTAGTTTAATATGTGAAGATTATATTGATATATCTAAGTTACATTACGTCGATGATGAAGAAGTAATTATTGATCGGAAACGGAAAAAAGAACTGGAGGAGTATGAGAGACAGATAAAAAAGATAAAAAAGACAACTTCTGAAGACTGTCGCATTTTTAAAAAGTCAAAATAGTTATGGAGAAATGTGATCATTTACAGAAACATATTAAATTATGGAATTTTTAATTATATTCACACATCAAATTTCAATAACTTATTAAAAATATTAAATATCGAATTATATAATTTTTTTTACTCTTTTCTTTCAAAAAAATTATAGATAAGTTTGTTGCTTTTAATATTATCTTTTCTATTAATGCCTTCGGGGCGTATCGATTGTTGTCTTTGATTTGATATCGTGAAAAAAAATTTTTACCATTTATTTCTTGGGGTTTTTCGTTAAAATTATTTTTTATATTTCGGCATATGACTCCTTTCGGGATTTTTACAAGAAGTTTGTCATTTTTATCCAAAAAATATATTTTTTGCGATTCATTCATATTTATCGGTAAAATTATGTGTATGTTTTTCGGGGTCCGTTGGTCTTTATAACTTAACGAGATTTTTTTCTAAATATATAAAATGTATATTAAATTAGAGAAATAGAGAAACAATAATTATATTTTAAATACATAAAATAAAATAAAAAAAAATACCTTTTATTAAACAGGTAAAAAATTGGTATTTTTGTTAATAACGCGAATAATATGATTTTATCCATTAATTTTTAAAAACTAATATAGTTATTAATATCATGTATGTTTTTGAACAAAGAAAAATTATCATCTGACTATTTATTCATGCACGGTTGATAATACGTACATTTTGTATGTAATTCTTATTTATTTTTATTATTCTTTCAGACAGCGACAGAACAGAATTTAGTATGAGCATATGTAATTATAATATTATCAAAACAATATATATATTTTTAAACAATAACTTTTTCAATGTTTTTATTGTTAATTGCGAATAAAAGACATGATTAATTATATATCTCACTGAATTTATAAATATTACTGTTATCCAGAAAATGAATAAAATAATAATAGTCACATCATAAACTCAATAAATAAATCATTTTATTTCGAAATTATAATTATTTTAATTATTTTAAATTCAATGATAATAATTTTTCACTTAAGGTAAATTTCATTCCAAGGATCGTCACCCAAAAACATTAATGTTCTAAATTTGGAAGCAATTACAAAGCCATACCAAATCCGTAAATTCAGTTTATCAGTTGTTTCGTAGCCTTAAAACTCACGTGAAAATTAATAAAATATCTATGTAAAATATAATAGTTGATAACAATTCACTTGGAATTAGATTATGTAGATAAAAAATGTCTGATTTAACTGAAAAATAGGATTCAACTTCATTGATTTTATGAGATATGAAAATAAATGATGATTTATTAATTTTCATCAAATTCGAAATGATTTTTCATAGTAATAATCTTAATATAGTAATTATACAGATTAATAATGCGAATATAATACTAATTATTCTAATCAAGATAAGTAATATACTTGAGCTTTGAACATTCTAGGTTAGGCATAGATTATCATTTTGATTATACAATTAATGAAAAAAATAATAATAATACTTTTAATTGTTGATTTGAGAGTGGATACATAAAAAATTATGACGTGTAGCACCATTGAAATTGAAATTGTTATGCTTAATTAAACAAATTTTCAATAGTAAACTCATTATTTCATAATAATAACAATCAATAATCTGTTTTTTTTTACGCTTTCAAGTAGAGAAATAAAAAATTTTAGTTACACATTATAATTTTCTTTGTATTAGTCTTTATATAAATTTTATAAAAAAAGCTATCTATTTTAAAATATAAATTCGAAAGAATTTTTAAAATGAATAAATGTTTATTTTTTATTAGAGTTCTCCGTCCCTGTAATCTTGCGAACTACTTTTTAACTCAATTTTTATCACCAAATAAACTTATTTAACACATTTAGCAGTACCTATATTTAAATTTTCATGCAGGTTGAACAAACTTATGTAGGGAAATTAATGATTTAATCTATTTCAAAAAATGTCGATTTCTGTGATCCTGGATTCGCGACTGTGTAGGTCTGATACTTTCCTTTCTTTCTTGGGATTTATTCTGTTATTTTAGATTTAATGAGTAATATATACATTTAAAATAGATATTAAATATATAAAAATAGCAAATAAAAAAGATTCCAGAACATCACGTAAGCAAGTGATCAAGATACATAAATTTTATTGAATTATTTTATTTTCATTTTAGAAAACAAAAGTAATAATTCCAATAATTCTAATTATTTGTAATGATATAAAGAAGAATTATTGTACGTCAGAATTAGATGATGAAAGAGTAAATTAAACTCTGCTTTTATAAATAAAATTTTTTGAACAATTCAAAAAATTAAATAACTAAGCATATCATTTGATTACTTTATTGAAATATTAAGAGGCGAATTCTAATGATCTAGAGGAAAAGCATCGTTAACTAAAAAGAAACCTTGATTGATTTATATTACTTGGTTTTTCATTATATGTCTAGATTTTCTATTTTATTATTATTATTTTAGATCATTTAATTATTTTTGCATTAAATACTTTAAATATTTTAGAAAATAGTTCAGGAAATCCAAATGCCAAAATAATCAAAGAATAAAAGATGGATTGAATTCAATTTTCTTTTTTATTTATTTAATTCAATCTGATAATTATATTATTTTTAGCTTGTAATTGTAATGTACTTCTACAATCTAATGTATCCAATATATCCGATTGTGTTATTTATTTTGGGTAACGTAAGGTAATCGTAATCGATATCTGAAATAAACAATAACCAATTGCGTATTTAAGCTGGAAAGGTAAGGAAAATATTAAAAAAAATTAAAAAATAAGTTTAGATTTTATAATAAAAAACAGGAGTACAAAAAAAAAAAAAAAAAGAAAGGAAGAAGATTTTATAGAATATTTATGCATGGGCAATTGTATAATTAAAATTTATCATATATGGATATTCTGAACGAATTATAGATAATAAATGATAGATAATGTATATAATGTACAAATTTCTGGACGTTTAATGACAAAGAATAATGATAATATTTGTATTAAATTTCATGAATTTTGTATTGTGATTGTAAATGGACCATATTAGTTTAGTATATCGTTTGTGTTCTGAGCCTTGTCATTTACCAAATATTGTCAACCTTCTTTGATAGTAAAATTAAATAAATAAATAACCAGTACAGGTTTGTTCTTCGACTGCGTCTCTGATTGAAGATCAGTTTTGTATGATTTTGTTTTATTAAGTTTTATTGAAAACAAAATAAAGGAAAAAAATTTTCATATAGTTAGTTTTTTGGATACTCAATCGATTCATCTATTATTAATGATCTTGATAATGGGTAACGTATTGGATGCTATTGTTTCCAACCTACTCTGAAAGTGTTGTGGATAATTTTAATAGTAAAATAATAACCATAAAGAAAAAGCTTATCATAAATTATGTAAGAAAATGGAAAGATCATATAATACATAAAATACTGAAGAACGTCATCCTTTTTTTTAAAAAAAATATAAAAATAAATAATATCAATTATTGTATATCAAATTTAATTTATTAAATAATCATAATATAATAGTAGAATCATTTTCTTTTATTTTTATATTATTCATTATTTGATTAGTTACACGAATAAATCTAATATAATATAACAATAGATAATTCTTTATTTGGAATAATGATAAATTCAGAGGTTCCAAAAAAGTTTATCAGAAAATAATAGGTGATTATGATTAGAAATAATGAATAAACCAAAAATGGTAACAATGCAATGATGAATTTAATTTTTAGCATCGAGATTAATCTTAAAGATCAAATATTAAAATAAAAAATGCAAGATCTGACACGATTAACCAAAAAAGGTATTTTTTTGGTGAAAAAGAAAATTTTTTAATCATGACAGGATTTTTAATTGCAACTTCGTTACTCGGATTATCAACACATTAGAACCGAAATAATCGTATTTATACTATATAAATTTAAAGAATTACTTTCGATAACTCTACCGATCATACAGCATAAGGGAGTTTATATTCCATAATGATAATCTGTTATTATTTTGTTGAAATTGATTTTACTGGCTGATCAATCGAGAGAGCTATACTTATATATTTAACTATGGGAAAATCATCGTAGTTATTATGTTATGAATATTTTTGTAAGAAATTTTAATGAATATAGCAAAAAGGAAAATAAAACCCAAAAATCACCTCAAAAAACGTAAACGATAAATATTTGTTGACTGACTTATTTACCACGAATGTGAAATAATAAATAAAAAATCTGCGAGGGCGATCAACAAAAAAACAGGTTTAAATCTCCTTTTGTGATCAATTGACATTTCCAAATATTTACATATGTAATGATGCATTAAAAAAAAAGTAATTGAACCAATGAGAAAAAGAAATGGCAAACAAAAAAAAGTTTATGTTGAGGTTACACGTTTTCTAAAACCTTCACACACATAGGAAGCACATGTTAAAGATTTTTATTATTTGTTTTTGTTTGAATAAAAATGTAAATATTCTTAAGAACCACTACGCTATAAAATATACAATTAAATAGTAATCAATCTAATTGTTACATTTCTTTAGGTTTCATACTTGAACGAAGAAAAATCTCGCAAATAAATATGAAAAATATTTAAATCGTGCATATAAAATATGCAATTTATTAAATTTATTATAGAAAAGACCGAATTTTATATATCCGAAGTAGTTGAAAAGAAAACAAAAACCGTGCAGCTCTGAATTAATTTATTTTTATACTTAATTTATATTTTCTTTGTGTTTTATTTATACATTTGTTGCAAAGAAAATCTACTTCTTTTTTGCGTAAACTTTTACGAATAATTTTTTAAAAAAATAAATATGTTTATTCTTACAATCAAACATCGAACATCAAACAATTCTTTTTTTGAAATATATAAAGACCCAATTTCGAACCTCTTGATCAAACATTCAATGGTTGATTTCTTTGAATTTCTCTTCACTACATAAATTACTTTTTAATTTATAATTATAAAAGAACATTATTCTCTCGAGTTTTACTCGAAATAATATAATTTTAATTTCTTTAATAAATACATAGATATAATTGTAATCTTTTTTTTATTATCTCTCTCTCTCTTGAGAAATGAAATTCAAAATATTTTCAATCCTCGGTGTTGCATTATGCGGTTTCTTGGCCGCCGTTGCAACCTCAAATGAACCAGAAGAATCCCATGAATTTGAACCTAGATTCGCTCCAAGATCATATATTTTAAATCCTTTACCTAAATTAAAAGGGTATTCACCCAAAACTCGTTATTATCATTTTGAATTGAAAATTATAAAACTTTCTCCCGATGGTTATAAACGTCCTGTGTGGTCTGTCAATGGTCAATATCCAGGTCCTCTCATTCAAGCCAATAAAGGGGACAGAATAGTGGTAAATGTAACCAATAATTTTGGAGACCCCGCTACTATCCATTGGCATGGTATCTTCCAACGTGAAACAAATTGGTATGATGGTGTACCTGGTCAAACCCAATGTCCTATACCAAGCAGAGTTTGCTTCACATATAATTACACTTTGGAACAATCGGGTACTTATTGGTATCATTCTCATTTCTTGGCTCAATATGTTGATGGATTGGTTGGTCCACTCATCGTACATGATAAAGATGACCCTTATTCTAAGTCTTATGATGAAGAATATGTGCTCACTGTAAGTGATTGGTATCATTCTACTTCCGCTCCACTTCTTGTTCAAAGAATGGCTCCTGATTACACAGGTTTTAATGTAAGTTATTAAGTTATGCGATTGATGTAATTTATGTGTTCAGTTAATTTGTAGTTTTGTGATTTCTAATTTACATTTTATGCATTTTTATAGCCTGTCCCTGATTCTGCTCTTATCAGTGGTATAGGTCAATATAATTGTTCGGGAGCACCAGCAGGTTATTATTGTAATCAGAATGTCCCGCCTGCCACCTACAATGTTAAAAAAGGAAAGAAATATAGATTCCGCATTATCAACACTAGTGCCTACGCAGCCTTTACCTTTTCAATTGATAATCATCCACTCAGGGTTATTGAAGTTGAAGGAACTCCTGTAAAAAATGTCAGTGCTGCCATAGTGACTGTCTTGCCAATTCATGTGGCCCAACGTTATTCTGTTATCGTTACCGCAAATCAAAAGGTTGACAATTATTACATCCGTGCTAGTATTATGGAAAATTGTTTACTTCCTAGAACTCCAGAAACTATCAACTCTAATTCTTCTCTCAATCCTAATGCTACCGGTATTCTTCACTATCACGGTGCTGGCAGTGATAAACCCAACTCAACCGCATATCCAATAACCATCGATCCTTGTCAAGATCTTAATTCTAGTGCTATACGACCATGCGAAGCTAGTCCTCCACCCAATAACTTCACTGATGAATTTCTATTTATTACCACATTCGAGCGTAATGATGATAACGTTGGTCTCTTAGGAATCAATAATTCATCCTTTATACCCTGTTTCAATAATCCAACAAATCATAGGATAATGTTAAAAGAAAATTATAGAGAGTTTGATACAAATCAAAACATATATGCTTATGACACACCCAACGGGTGTGTTGATATTATTCTTTTAAATGGTCAGCCTGCAAATCATCCATTCCATTTACATGGTCACGCCTTTTGGATTATGGCTCAAGGACCGGGGGCAACCCTTGATAATATTACAGCATACAATTTCAAAAATCCAGTCATTAGGGATACTACTATGGTATTTGCGAATAGTCATCTAGTAATAAGATATATTGCAGATAATCCAGGTGTATGGGCTTTCCATTGCCATATTGAATGGCATGTAGAAATGGGTTTGGTAGCTCAATTAATTGAACGTCCAACGGAATTCAGTAATCGAACCCTTCCAGATGATGTTAGAGCATTGTGTATGCAATTCAATAATTACAAAAAAGAAAAACGTTCAACTACTTTACCTGGAGACTCAATGGTTAAAGGAATGCGTATGCGTATGTTTAAAAAAGTAAAATAAGATAAAGAAACGATTTTAATATTCAAGATTATATTTTATTTTTTTTTTATATAATCTTCATAATTTAAATAATTTGAATGCTTCATTTTATTTTTAAATCAATCAAATCAATGGAGTGCTTTGCATTTTTTTTAGCATGCATTCAATTTAAAAAAAAATTTCATCAGCTCTGTATTCTTATAAATGTTAAATATAAATGCTACAATTAATCAAGTTGTATTTTTATAATAAAATAATATTTTCAAAGAGAGAGTTTTACTTTTTTAAATTATTTTTTTAAAAATTTATTATTGTAAAAAAGAATTCCTTTTCTTCCCTGCTTGCATTGACTTTGTACGGTACGAAACAAATTTAGGTAAATAAAAAATTACACTTTCTTACTCGACACCTTCGGTTCGAAATGGGAATTGACGTTAGATTTAAAATATTATGAACTTCAATTTAATATTGCTTGTAATTTTTAAATTTTAATAATATCGATTGTAGATTTGGGATACGTCGATTTTAATTAACATCCCGAAATTATTAAAATTATTTTAAATTCTAATAAAATTAATATTACTGTATTAAACGATTAAAACGAGGGTATATATTCTGCATTGTCAAAAAAATAATAGTTCTTCTAAACGAGTAATAATTATTCCAAAAAAAGAATTCACTTTCGAGAGTTTTACTTTAAATTATATTGCAATTATTTTTTTATATTAAATGAAATATTTAGTAAAACATCTTCAAATTTTTTGAAAGATTCGTTTTTTCTTTGAATTTTTATTATTTGACATCATAATAAACTACTGCTCCATTTCATGACAATTATGACTGTTCCTCCCGCTAGTCTGTTATTAAATATTATTATAAAATTCACAAATAAAGAATTAAAAAATTAAAGTAAATAATTTCCATGACTGATGCTCGATAATACTATTAAGATTTCAATAAAAATATTCTTCTTTTTTTATTCTTTCTATTGTCGCGGTTTGCGCAGAACAAAGTGGAAAGTCAAGCCAATCAGTCTCAATAAATTTAGGATGATCACACAATAATTCAATGTATTA